GCCAGAAGGACTAGATTTACTAGTTTTACTAGATTTACTAGATTTACAGAGTGCCTAATCTGTAGCAGACCACTGATTTTAATACTATGGAGGAAAAAAAGTAATCCCGTGTATGGCTATATTCATCCAAAGGCACAAAACTCAGTATTTCTACAACAGTTTGGAGATCTGTGATCTACAGCAAAATCCAGAAAGAAACTCTTTATATAATAAAACTTGTGCTGGAAAATTTTTGTGTTGAAACTTTTCAATAAACTGGTGTATTTCATAGTCTTATGAGAGAAGAGAAATGGTGTCCAAATACGCAGTACCCCAATAGAATAAGTCTCAGAAGTCAGAGCAAGAGGAAGGTAACATTTATGAAGCTTATCCTGATCTCCTGTTATATGACACTTAAGGCTATGCCACTGCCTTGCATTTCGAATGACACTTTAATGAAGTTGTTAGTTGGCCAAGCAGGACACTAACATGAGTTATGATAACAGCGCAGAAGTCTGAAAGAAACATAATTTTGGATATCAATTGTAATGCCAGGCTGCATTGTTTGTGTAGGTTCTGCATAATTAGGCATTAAAGCACTTGAGGATTATAGCAAGCTGTAAAAATAAGATTTAGACATTCCATGTCTTTATTTTACAGAGTGGTATTTGCTTCTGTTAGCAACGCAACTCAACTTTCAGTTTTTGTTTAAGACCATATAACTTGGTCATATGGTAGAAGAAGATGGGAGAATTTTAAGGAGAACAACAGCATGCAATGAAAAAGCAAGTCATCTGAATAGAGGCTACACAGAAAAGAAAAAAAAAACCCACAAAACAAAACCTCCAAAATAAACATCCTTTGCCACATGTAAAACAATAAAGGAAAAGACTTAAAACTTTTTCTAACAGTTTTGTACTGTGGGTGCAAGTACTTTTCACCTATATTAGCATAAATTAAGGATTATACTGGGAAAGATTTAATTATAAGTAAGTTTAATTTCTAGAACTGAAAAAAGTGTATGGTTTTGAAAAGTCATATTCTTAGGTTCCTTACCATCTTTATTATTCAAAGATACCATCTAAGACCAAATATTACATCAACTTTATTGTTTTTCTTTTATTCTTTCCATACTGAAAATTAAGCACACCAGCCTTCGGAAGTGCTGAGAACATTTCCAAAATAAGAGGTCATTAATATGCTTATGTGATTAATAATTATAAAACAGAGTGATCATGCATTTTTTTCCTAAAAATTACTTGCTTATTTCGTGGATAAATTGAACTAAAATTCACAAGCACTTCAAGTTACCATAAACAGGCATCCCTGCTAGAATACTTGCTATCTGCTGTTGGCCTCTTACTAGCAGCAACATATTAATGCAGTTATAGGTAGGTGCTTTGATATTCTATTAATTTACAGGCTTCAGTTTGAAATTAACTACTAACTTAAAAATAACAATATTGATATTTTGAACATACTTTTATAGTCATACAGCACAGCAAGCTGTATTAAGAGATAAGTTAAGATCTTAAAATCAAGCATTTAATGTTTTTAAACAGTTTTGAAAAAAAAATACCAGTAATGGAGTAAGCATATGAAAGAAATGACTTGATTCTTAGGAATCTTGTCTAGCATAGTTTTATTCTTATGTTCTTAAAACAAATAAAGCAAAACAAAATTTCTAGCACTGTACGTCTGTAGTATAGCTTGGTCCTGTTTTTCTTATGCATTAGGATAAACCTTTAAATGTTATAATATTTTTGCACACTATCCTTTTTGTAGTCATCAAATGAATGATTATTCCTTATTTCATTTCATATGTCTATTGTACTGTTGTACTGTTATACTTGTAAATTTCCAATTAAAATATATTAATTAGTCTTAATAAGAGACTTAATGAGACTTAATTAGACTTAGTATTATTTTCAATTTTTTTTTTTAAACAGCAATGAAGGCATCTTCAGAATACTCCTGTTGAGATTTTTCCCGAGTGGGGAAATGAGGTACAAAGAAATTCCTTTCCCAAATCTCTGATATTTTCAAGTGCTTTAACTTTTTTCTTGATTGTTATATATTGGTGACACATCTTTATTTGGAAGCTCTGAGTGTTCAGTACTGCTGCTGAGCAGCATCCAGTTGCTTCACATTGCTGGGCAAGTAGAAATTTGGTACATTTATATGTTAGTATTTGCACTCTTGTGTAGCATTGCTTTGATTGTCAACTCCTGTATTTAATTTATTTACTTATACTCCTTTGTACTTTATGGCTTCTGTTCCAACATCTGTAGTTCTCTGTTCCTGTTTCCTCCATCTGCATGGGCCTTCGCTCTGCTGTTTTGTGCTCAAGTCTGAGTATGCATGTTGTTGATTCTTCCAAAATGCCATGTGAGCATTAGCATCTAGACACTCATTCTCTTCTCTTAACTGGGTGCCTACTAGCATGGGTTTAGCAGCATGCTATAATAGCCACTTCTGCTGAGCTTCAGTAGCTTCAGATTAGGATACATGCAATTATTCTGTGAGGCTGGAGCATTTCCAGTTAAGCTAGTACAGAAGAGAGAGGTGGAGCTCCATGGAATGGAGCATTAGTAATTTTGCCAGCCTCTTATGAACATACGTGAGCTGAAATTCTTAGACAACTTCTTTCATTTTTGTGTATCTATAGTCATGGAGGGAAATTTATGAGGGAACAGAAGACAAGCTCCAATACAGGGATAACCCTCCTGCTTAGTTTTCATGTTATTTCTAATGGTGGAATGATCATTTAACAAAATATTATGTACATTCACAGCCTTATTTTAGGAAAAAAGTTTTTATTTTATTGTTACTTTACAGAAAAATTCAACTTGGAGAAGACACCTAACAATTGAGATTTTTTTGTCCAACTGCAGTTATAAAAAGGAAATAGTATTGTAATGAAAAGATTAACTTTAACTGCTAAAGTAAAGTGAAAAATACTACAAAGAGGTAAAAGTTTGATTGTTTGATTGTTTGTTTGTTTCTATCAGGTAGTTATGATTCTTCCTTTTTCTACATGGCAAAATTGCAAAACAGAGGTGCCTTAGATGGCTGGGGAATTCTGGGGAGTGACTAAGTTAGTAGAAATATGGAAGTATGACATTCCAAGTACTGGATGTGTTACTAGGGAAAATATAATTTCTATTAATGATTGAAACGGAAATTGGCAGTGTTGGCTTGGAGCATAATGCCTATTTATCCTTACGGAAAACATGACACCTCAATTCAGTGTCAGATAACAATGTGCCAAATATAAAAAGGGATTTTCATTTGGCATTTTAAGTACTCTGCTCTACTTCTAACTATGGTATGAGAAAAGCAGTTCCTATTCTAGCTGGATGAGAAAATGACTATAAATTTAAATATCATCTAAATATAAAATTAGGAGAAAAAAGATTTTTTTCTCAGACTGATACAGATCACAGTGTAAACTGTTTTTTCATTTTATTTTAACAGGTTTTCCAGTCGCTGTTTTTAGTTTTCTGTTTTAACTTTTTTTCTTTCAAGAAAAAAAGACTAAATGCCTGCTTTTCTCAAGATAAGCTTAATTTAGTCTCTATTAGAAAAGGTGATATTTATTCTCAAGCACATTTCCTATCGCTTACACCATAGCCCTTTCTTCATTTGTATAGGTTTATTTGGGCATAGTTTACAGAAAACATTGTCATTTTTTCCTCTAATAAATCTCTCCTGGAACTACATAGTAAAAGAATCTTAATTTTGCCACTTCTCTTTTAAAAAGAGAATTAATTAATGTAATTAATTTGTATGTCTGATATTTTGTTCATTGGAGTCTGGAGAAATCATTGGATGCTGTGACATTTGGATCATGCCCTCTGTTCCTGATGGACTATTGCCAGCATTCTAAAACATTGGGGTTTTTTGTTTTGTTTTGTTTTTGTTTTTCTGATCATCAAACAAAAGAACCCCGCATAGAATAAAAAGAGTATTTCAATTTAAGATTACTATGGGTATTTTAAACTACAAGTAGAGATTCAAGTTCTTTTTTATTGAAAAGGTAATATGGAGGAATTTTAATAGAATTCTTAGCTGTACTGCTGCTGCTGGGTTTTTTTTAGGGTTAACAGCTTATTTAGAAATCCAATTCTGTCCTGTGGCTCTTCAGTTTTTGGTATGTTGTGACCCAGTTATTTACTCACTAGCAATTACTCACATTACTGGAACTACTCGTGAGTAACTGCTGATGACTATGAGTAATAAGCTTATGGCATATAGGCAGATTAATTATTAAAAAAAAAATCTGTGGAACTTAGATTCCATTCTTCAAAACTGGCCAAGAAAAAAAGCCTGTCACGTCACAGGTTTAAAGTAATATGATGCAGCACATTGAAATGTATATCATAAGCATTGTAGATTTTCAATGTTTTATATTTACTGGTGTGTTTATTTGCTAATTTGAATTTTCTGAGATTTATAAAAGTATCTTGGAGTTGTTTTTTCTTCATCTGTTCTTACTATTTTGTTTTCTATAATAGTATAAGCTATGTACACTAAGTACTTTCATTCAGCATGAATGAAAGAATAAGAGACTGTCAAAGCTGGTTCATTTTAAATTATGTTTATTTATTAGACCATGTTTCAGGTATTTACTGTTAGATATACTAAAAAGTCTATCATAAAAAAAGGATGCATAAAAGAACAGTTATTTTTTATAGAAGCAGAAGCTTTTTGGCTGTTAGCCTCATTACATGAAATTAAAGGTTTTAGTAATTTTGACGGTGTCTTTCTTAAACAAGTATAAATGTGGAAAATAAATTCCATGTTAATGCAGAGGCTGGACTGAGAGGGACCTTTTAAGTGGAACAAGTACAATCCAGAATCTTGGAACCTTTGCCTGTTATGTTCTGCCCCACTTGTCACCAGGCTAGCAGGAGCGGTAGTGAACTCAATACTATGTACAGTATAAATAATCCTCATATTTTGAGCAGCAAGCATCATGACCAGCTGATATTTTCTTTCCTCAGGACCAGTTGTTCCCAAGAGTGCGTGGCTGGAGCCATATGATCGTATCAACACATTCGAGAGCCCTACCCAAACAGTGAGAGAGATTTTGCTGCAGCAATGACTGTCATAGAAGAAAATCGTCCTTTTGCTCAGCAGCTATCTAATGTCTACTTTACTATACTGTCCCTTTTTTGTTTTAAACTTTTTGTGAAGATCAGCCTTGCTATACTGAGTCATTTCTACATTGTGAAAGGGAACCGTAAGGAAGCAGCAAGGATAGCTGCTGAATTTTATGGAGTTCCTCAAGGACAAGGTATATTTGTTCTTATTATCTTAGTTTATTACTATTGTTGGTTTTATTTGTTTCAGATAATTATTAGTCTGCTAGATCGATTTATTTTCATTTTATAAAGTGATATGTGTATGGGCATTTTATGTATTTTTTCTCTGATTAATTTTTAGACAAAACTATTCAAAGGAGTATTGTTAGGTTTCTTAAGTGATTCCTTTTTTTTTTTTTTTTTTTTTTTTGGTTAATATTAAGATCAGAATAAAAAGTATTATGGGCAATTTCCAGTTGAAAGAGAGGACTGTAGTGACTTTGCCATTGCTTTTACAATTTTCCCAGTTACCTATAAGGTTGCCTCACTTTATCCATATGTAGGTGAAATTTTCCACACCTGGCATGTGGCTAAAGTTAGGTTATTCTTAACATTTTAGTAAAGTGGTCCAGATAGATACTTTTGTGAACAGATTAAGAGAACTCTTTATTCACTAGGTTAAAATGCTCCTCTAATAATTATTCAAGAAGATACAGTTTACTTTGAGTTAGACACTCGGCATGCAGCCAGAAGCTTTTTGTTGGTCCAAGTGAGCTTTTGTGCATTGTTGTGAACTCCCTCCCAAATATCACTGGGTTGAAAGCTCTTGAAATTAATTTTTTTTTCTTTGCTGAAGCAGAAGTTTATTAGAGCTGGGCACTGCTATTCCCCCAAGCTCCTCTGCAGTGAGCTTGTACCATTTTGGTTCAATTCTTTTCTGTGGTAGAGAGCACAGAAAACTCTTTTCTCAAATACCTCTCCCTGTGCCTGCTGGCGTCATGCTTTTACTCAGCTTGGAGTCCCTGCTGCTTCGCTTGTATTTGATTGCAGTTCGTTGTATTCCGAGATCATACTGGGGGAATTATACAGCACAACAGAAAGGCACTTGCCCTGTCTCTCCTTGTTTTCACTGCTCATCCCTAGATGCCACAAAGAAGAAGAAATAGTCTGAGTCAAATGCAAAGGGTAAACTGTAGAAATGGGCCAAAAACAATTTCAAACTTAAGATCTTTTCACTCTTAATGCTAGGGTAAATGTCAGATGGGTAATATATAGATAGTCAGAAATACATATTATATTTAGTGTAGTTTTGCATGTTTGTTTAAATTTTGCAAACCAAAGAGACATGCCTAAGTCCCAAAGTGGGGAATAGCTTGCTGATCAGGAGATTTTCTTGAGGTGAATTTATATTATGTGTGCTCTGTGTGGTTTAGAAAGCACTGAGACCCAGGATTTTCATGTCTGTTTATGCAGCATCACATCACTGGATCTGTTACAAGTGTGTATGAGTGTATGCATAGTTACATATGTCGCTGTGGGTACATGTGTGTACAGGTATTTGCTAGAATGGAGAGGGCAGGACTGACTTTCTAGCTTGCTGGCAAAATTACTTATACAGGCTATGAAAGCCCCTGTTCCAACTCGAGAAGAAATTGTCCTCAGACACCTCCAGCTAGCTCTAAGGAGCATCACTGTGTGCTGAATGACACAAAATCTTAGTAAGGGAGGGGAAAGACTGGGAGAAAAAGCTAGAGAGAAAAAAATAAAATACATTAGATGAGAGGATGAAATACCATTCATCGGGCATTTGAATTACTGTAAATAAATAGAATACATTCAGACTTATAGTAATTGGCCCATGCAAAACATGAACATTTCTCATTTTTTCTATTTTGCGAGGTAGCAGAGGTTTATATGGAGCTTAAAGGTCCAGCATATGGTAAAGTTTCTGGTTTTTTTTCTGCTTTTTTTTAATAATGCAGTGATTTTCTGCTTAAACTTTACTTTCCACAGCTGGCTTTGGGTGTGTCTAAATTTTTCTCTGCATTTAGTGCTTGGGTCTAGACTTGCAACTGAAGCAACTGTGTGTTCAGCTCATGTTACATAATAATCTTAGCTCTTCCGCCCACATATTACTCAAAATTACTGTTTTATCTTAATCCTTTTTGCACCCTTGTGTTCACTCATGTTTAATATATTACTATCTCTATTCACACCTTACTGTGGATATTCTTTTTCATCTTTTTGAAGCATAGTTTACAGATACCTTGGTAGAGTTTTTGGAATACAGTGTAATAAAATTTCTTTTTTTTCTTTTTTTTTTTTTTAAATGAGCAAATAAATTCTAATATTTTAGTAAATAATTAGTGATCTTTCTCTGTGCTGTTTATTAAACAGAGAAGTCTCAGCACAATAAAACAAAAAGTAGTAAAACAGCTTGATTGAAGACTTTATAAGAAATATAGTTCCAGTGTTAGTTTTTATTTCTATTTTTCAACCTGATTACATATTCTCAAATTCCTGTTAATGCTGGTGTTTTCAATTTGCTTGAATTTCAATTTGCTTGAATTTCAATGTGCTTGAAAAGTATGTTTTGTTCTTACGATAAGTGGACTAGGATAGTCCACAGATACAGAGCACTAAAGCTCTGTAGGGAAAAGAGCCTTCAGGAGTAATGCACTACTAGCAACGGGCGTGTTTTACTGGGCTGTGCTCTTGAGCTATAATTATCTTTTATGAAACCTGTATAAACAACATTGTAGAACACAGAAGAGTAGTAGTTGGTGGATAAATTCCTTTTATAGAACTGCAAGTATATAGATCAAGGCAGAATTTAGGCCCTCAATATCCATCATTTCTTGGCTGACTTCCCTTTTTTTTGCAACTATTTCTTTGCTGAATACAAGGGAATAGATTCATTTGTGTCATCTGCTCAGTGCAGTCCTGTTTCCTGATTTAAGTGAGGAAACCAGTCATATTTTGTTCCCTAGTATTTCAGGAACATTTTCTCTCCTGTTTGGATAGTCACTAGCCTGTTAAATTTATCCTTTGGATCTCATATGAACAGCTGGATTGGAACTGAGTCCATAACTAATTAGAAATGATTATGTTATGTGTGTGGCATTGAAATATAAGAACTAGACCAGTGTTCAGCACCAGGTAAGACCAGAAAAGTGCATCTATAAACTCTGCTAGTTGTAAATCACATTAATTTGTTTATGGAGATCAAGTCTGAATCTTTCCTTTTTAGAACTTCCCTATTTAGAACTGCAGTAGTGTACAGCAGAAAGGCACCTCGGGAGGTGCCCATTTACAGTCAAACCTACATAGGTTTTCCAAGGCAAATATTTGTCCCACTTGTTTTTTAAATGCTTAGTAATAGAGAATTCTGCTGCAGCATCTCTCTGTATCCTATTGCAGTTTTTATTATCACCATGATTGCAATGCTTCTAACTGCCCCCAGGATCTACCTAAATCTCTTTTTTTCCTGCAAACTAAATAAATAAATTTTTAATTTAATAATATCTATTATAAGCTATAATCAAGGTATTTATCAGTTGTACTCCACTATGTATGTGGAGTCCAGTATGGAAAGTAAAGAAATTCAGAGACTGTGATCATGGATCTCTTCCTGTCTTCCCAGGAATTACTGTAGTTGCTCTGCTTTGGACTTCTGCCAGCTCACATACATCTTTCTTGAAGTGTAATGTTCCAAGTTAAACAGAGTGTGCCAACTAAGACTTTATTAGTGCATCAAGGGGAATGATTAGTCGTATAAAAGTGGAACAGTTATGTCATGTGCCATATATATGATACCCTATCTGGAATTGTCCTTTTTTTTTTTTTTACAGTAAAGTAAAATGGACTTGGTCTGTAGTCCACTTCAAACTCCATATTACTTTAGACAGTAGCACTATACCATGCATTTCTTTTCCTGTCTAAATATATTTTGTACTTGTATTTAGCTAATATCATGCTCTTGATTAGGGGGTGCTCCTCTTTACTCAAATCACTTTGAAGTCTATTTCTCCCAAGGCAGTTGCAGTACCTCCAACTTAGCATCATTTAAAAGTTTTAAGTATGAAGATAAATATAATAGTCTGTCATGTAAAATTCCAAAACACCAGGGGCATCAAAAGCACGACAGAACTCTGTAGTCTTTCACATAGGCTTACATGGATCAATTCTTGTCTTAGTAAAATGACGTCAAAAGTATCAGTACTATAAAACAATTAAATGAAAAAGGGACCTATCCTATTATAACACACCCATTTACTGAATTATTTTTACCTTTCGCACTGATTTTGTAAACATTTACTAGCACACACATACTTGCCCCGCTGATTTGAGAAGGACTGATAAGTTATTTAGAGCTCAATACTTTGCAATCAGGACCTGTGGTTACCTACCTTTTTACCTTGTGCATGTATTCAATATTCCAGAAGATTCACAAAAGTCAACATTTTATTCATTTCTTTCTTTTATGGAAAAAGTCGTAGTGCGTAGATGCATTCAGTTTTCATATCCTGTGTGCTACAAACTGATCTACAAAGAAGAACTAGCTTGAAAATTATTTGGGGATTGATTATCTTCTTAATGGGATATCTACAGTGACACTGATTTGAAGAGAAAGATTACTTCTCTCAATGTATTTCCTCAGTGTAAAGCACCAGCAGTTTCAAAGCAGAAAACAGAACCCAGGAATCCTGTCTCCATACTTCTTTTTCCTTCCTAAAAATTCAGGACAAAAATCAGCTGTTGCCCAACCTTGCTGTAAAGCAACGTTAAAAAAAAGGAAAGGAAAAAATACATTTTTTAAATTTTTCCTTCCCTTGACAAATTCCTAAAATATATCGCTAATGCACAACAGATTGGCAATCACTGACTGGTATCCCTATCCTATCAACACTTAATAACATAGAACAACTTGAATTCACCTAAACATTTTCCTAATCTTAGTTACTCTGTTTGCAAGTACTCCTCTATTCATCCCAAGATTGAAAAGTGTGACTCTTTTCATATACCTGTATAATGCCAGGAACATTAATGAATGTAGAATGGTGTAATTCAGGCTTATTTTTCTGCCATTCTTATAATACTAAAATTCAATATGTGTGTGAATATAAATAAAAAGAGAACTGAAAAAAGAAATGTCTGTGGAATTTAAAACACATAGTTAAATTTGGGCTTGATGTAATTTTGAAGGAAATAT